ATAGTAATAGTAATAGTAACAGTAATAGTAATAGTAATAGTAATAGTAATAGTAACAGTAACAGTAACAGTAACAGTAATAGTAATAATAATAGTAATAGTAATATTCATGGGGGTAACTGTCCGGACTATCAACCTATTTTGTCCGGGATAGCGTGTACACACTGCAAATGTTTGGCGCGCGCCTGGCCCGGACTAGTTTGATGTAGGATCAAATTTGAAGTCTGTACGGAATAAGAGTAAGAGATTGAGAGTAACTGGTTTACGGTGATTGTTTTACGGTAATATTAATGGTGCGGTAACGGAGAGAATCATTTTTTATTACAGTATGTCGCAAAAGAGTACGTATCTTGCTATGGGTAAGCGCCCTCGCCATCATACTCTACTGCAGTATTCTGCAAGAGCAGGAGCAGAGCAGAAAACCTGTCGGACAGCATGAAACAGTTCACATCCTCATGTTCTTCGCTAAAGCTGAGAAGAATGACCAGCTTCAACAGCAACTTCGAGCCAACATTAGGTTCGTTCCCCGTTACAATAATTCGTTGTGTTATCGCATCGCGCGCGTTATAAAAGCATGACAGCAAGCTTTTTAATCTTAAATGGCGTTTCACCGATCTCGTGCGAACTTGTATCGATATGTTTCGCGTCGGTATCTCGACTTTCCAGTTGCAGTACGAGAACTAATTCGATTTTATTTCATGGTATTCACAAAATATTAGTGTCCAGTATTGGTGAGAGCTTTCACGCTCGTGTTTGCTGTTCCCAAGAAATGCCTGTAGCAGCGTTTGCGACCATAAAAATGCACCGGCTTCTAAATCGAGCCAAAGACAAGTGATACGAGAACCCTCGTGGACGCCTATATACAACAGTCTCGCATTTTTCCTAACCACGCCATAACTTACGGGTCGAACTCTGACAACCGCATTTTCTTACGCAGGTCTTTGGTGAAGCATGCAACTGGTCGGATCAAGTACCATTTCCTGGGCGACGCGAACAGCACCCGGATCGCAGCCGATATCCTGGAAAACGTGTTCGATACTATTCCGCACGGAGAGGATCTAGTCATACAGGTATTAGAAACACGGAAGATACCTGCGCTAGATGAGATTGTCTATGCATTCCTAATTGCATCATGCATTCCTAACCTGTGCGACGTCCGCGGATACCGACTCACATGTCAAAACGTGTTAGCGTTCGCAACATTCGCAACGAAATTTAATGTGGGGAGGTAGAACAATGGAATTTAGAAAGTAAAGTAAGAAAGTAAAAAATTTGAAATTAGAAATTAAAAGTTGGAAATTAGAAGTTAAAAGTTAGAAATTAGAAATTAGAAGCTAGAAATTAGAAATTAAAGATTAGAAATTAGAAATTAGAAATTAGAAATTAGCAATAAGAAATAAGAAATAAGAAATAAGAAATTATACATTAGAAATTAGACATTAGATATTCGAAATTCGAAATTCGAAATTAAACATTAGAAATTAGAAATTGGATATTGGCAATTAAAAGTTCGAACTTTATAAATTAGAAATTAGAAAATTATAATACACTGAATATTTTCACGGTCCGTTACCAGGTGCAGACATACGAAGTCGAATCGGTCGTCGCGAAAGTAGGACACGACGTATGGCCTATTCAGCAGTTGTTTAAAAGTTACCGAAAGAAATACAATCTCTTCAACGACATATTTTACTTCATTCCGTTTGCCCTTCACAAGGTCATTGACCTGTCTGAGGTCGATCGCATCATCAAAGTGGATGCCGACATGAGATTAATGAACGACATTCGGAAACTTTGGCGGGAGTTTGATGAATTCAAAGAGGAGACAATATTCGCGCTGGCTCAAGAGCAACAACCTGTATATTATCAAAGGTTTGCGAAGGCACGCGAGGCTGTTGGTGACGACAGGCTGGGCATGCCGCCACCTAGTGGCAAACCGGGTTACAATGGTGGCCTCTACCTTATCAACCTCGACCACATGTCGAAATCTAAGAAATATCAAGCGGCGGTATCTGAGAGAAATCTGAGATATATAATGCGAAAGTACTATTTCACGAAATCGCATCTCGGCGACCAAGAAGTGGTGACGATATTGGGCATGGAGTATCCCGAACTGTTTCACACGCTGCCGTGCACGTGGAATCGGCAGCTGTGCCGCAAGTATGCGCGCTCCATCACCATGCCCTCGGCTTAGTTCGAAACTGTTCAACCGATGTGACGGAGCGGTGAACTTGTACCGCAGACACGGGCAACTGTCCAGGTGCATCCGACGGCATTTCCACCGCGAAGCTGAGTTGTAACCGAGCGCGTATGTGGGCATGTTGTGTCGTGCGGACTCCGTCCAATTTCTAGTTTAATAGCACGACGTGTATTTGTATTTTGCAGATTGATATTATGCCTTTTGTATTATGATTTACAACTATATTAAAACCCTTTCACTGGCGGGTCCCGGGCCGTGCCGGGACGATCGTGCATGACTTGATATCGGCGACCCGGCTGACGCCGGTTTTAGCCATGGTCACAAATGGGCGGTAGCGTCGCACGAATGCAAACAGCAATACAGTAGCAGCAATCCGATAGCGGTACTGACATGTCTCCATCTTCTGTAGATTTTTTAGATTTTTTTAAGCAATAGCTTACGGCGGTGGAGGAGCAAGCATATATAATTATACTGTACTGAGTGTACTGTCTGTAGTAAAGTTTTGCACTTTATTTGCCGGCACTATATCTGTATATTTTATTATAATAAATCTTATAATAATGTCAAGAGTGAGATCTTCAACTATTAACTGTGGACACACTTTCAATTGAATAAAATTTCAATAATTCACACAGCGGAATTTGGTTGTTACTAGTTGTTATGAAAAAAGTCATATCATTATAGATGACAACCTTTCCTTCCCCCGCCAAAAAAGAAAATTCAAGACGCACCACTTTTTGCACGAATAGAAAGACAGGACACCGCTCAAGTATACATTAATAAAACTTAGGCTGATATATTAAGCGGGTTTATGTTTGATATGATTTTTTTAAAATGCATAATCCATGAACATTTGCTGTCGTTGCAAAAAAGAGTATTAGCACACAGGCGACAGTGTAAAAAAGTATTGCAGCAGTGAAGGGAGAAACCTTATAGGAAAAGTTGTGAGCGAACTATAGTGGCACTCCATTTGGAAACAGTTAAAAAAATATATAGTCCCGTCCATTAAAAGATAATATTGTAAAAGGCGCCTCCGTAGCTATAGATTGAGCTTTAATAAATTGTCCACTTGCAACGCGAAACTTCGTTCTGTTTCAAGCCCCTAACGCCTATTGACAATTAAGAGCATTTTTAATGATAAAAGAACATTCGGAGTGTAGCATTTCGGAGGACTGGCTAGGCAATGGGGTTGAATCCTTAATAGTTATTTACTTATCTCTACGCCATTAGGATTGGCCGACGGTAAAGAAAGTTGGCTAAAATCACTGGATCAGCTATCATGTCCACCCCGTCACGGGGCTACAGTATCATGATTCACAACCGGCACGAGTATGGCGTGTTGTGTCATTATATGATAGTACGATGCAGGTGTGAGCTAATAATAAATACCTATTCGTATAGCTCATTTATTGCTTATTACGTATTTATTAGCGTCTTGATGCAGTGTGAGCAGGCTGGTATGCAGCTCTAAAGACTATCGCTTCGTCTGGGCGGCTGTGGCAGGATACAGCAGCCAGGCGAGATAAAAGAGCAAGATTCCGGTTTAATGCGTGTTGTATATGTTGTAATTATTGTGTATATTTATTTGTATAAGTGCTTTTATATATTGTGCTCGTGCGTTAATCATAGGGGATTCGTAACCCGCGCGAATAAATATTATGTTTTGAGTTGAACGAAGAATAAAAGAAATAAATATGATGCAGATTCCCATCTAAATTCCGTGCACACGTTGCATCGTATCGACCGGATACCAGGTGCATTACTGCCCTTGTCGCGTAGACAAATACGTTCGGCAGGTCGAACAATACTGTCTGAAAGTATTTAGAATCTCAGAAAGCGAGGGCTGTCGAATTAAATAAACTAACGTCATGATTTGGCTTTCAATGTCAGCGCAGGTGTGTCAACGACAGATGTGGGAAGTGCGCTTACCAACAATAGGCGATGTATTCTATGCACCAACAAACGCGCCAAAAAACAATACGCCTCCCGCTACCTTCGTAGCGGAGGATAAAATTATAGCCCATGGAATTCTAACCACATAGCCGCGGTAAGATTGTGCAGAAGCCCTACATACATAGCATCCAGAGATATACATACCTCCCCTTGTCGGAAAAGCTCACGTATTTGCAATAGAGCGAAAAGCGAAGATAAAAAAAAGAGAATCTACAATTTTCCGATTTTTTACGCAGGGTGTGGTATATATGCAGCTGCGCGGTAATTGTGTGCTTGTTCGCGTTCTCTTAGTTGGCCCCTATATGATATGAGAACTCATCTGGCGCCAGTATTCTGGCAGTGTTTCTCCAAAATTCTAACATGCAAGTGCTGTGTGAACTCTAACAACTATTAAAATTGTCAGTTGTCATGACTTGTTGCCCCCGCTTCAACTCATTAATGTTACTAATATATATTTAATATGAATTATAATTTACTTATAGTGTTAACGTCCGTGGTTAGTTGGTCCGCTTTTATTGTTTTGTTAATAGAGTGGCGATAATACTTAGTTACATGAACATGTACGCCATTTTTAAACACTTTTTCACGATTATTCTACGTTTCGCTCTGTTACAGTTTAATTGTAGAAGGCGCTAGAGAAGTATTATCAGGAGACTACGCACCTCGTATACGATTTTTTCTCGTTAACTCTGTTTCTACTTCGCCATTTCCACTCTGATCCGCCTTCTTCCTTCTTTCATTCTCATTTCCTCTTTTTCATTTGTTCTTTCCTTCCTTCTTTTTTTCCTTACTTTCTTTTCTTTATTTTCTTCCGTCCTTTCCTTCGCTCTGATGCTGCACATAGTTGACAGGAGAAGGCGTTAGAGTTGTGCTCGCATGATCGTATTAAATTTGCGCCTCATTTCTGCCGACCATTCCGTGTACATACTCCACATTGCAGCTCATCTGGTGTGCATTTGACGTAAATAACATTAGTTGGCCCGGAATAACAGACGCTATCGCAGCACAGTCCTAAAACTGCCGCCGCGGGCGATTGGTATATTAGAGCGTGGAACGCTCATCAGCCATGGTAATAACATAGTGTTAGATTTCGCCTAGAGAGAGCTAAGAGAGAGAGGAGAGATGAGAGAGAGAGAGAGAGAGAGAGAGAGTATGAGAGGGATGGAGAGACGTATGGATGTATGTTTAGATGAAATGGATTGAATTTGGATGGATAGTATAGATGTAGAGAATGAATATGTGACGCGAGTAAAGTGAAAGTGCGCGAGAAGAAGAGAAGAGAGAGAAATGGGAGGGAAAGATGTCACAACGAACAAGGGATAGCGAGATTTATAAGGGAGAACGCGAGAGAGAGAAAGAATGAAAAAGAACGTAGTAGGTGAGAGAGCGAGAGACCGAGTGACAGAGAGAGGGAGCAAGAGGAAAGAGGAGAGCGAGAAGAGAAGAGAGAGAGAGAGAGAGAGAGAGAGAGACTGAGTGAGAGAGTGAGAGAGTGTAACTGCGACAGACACGAGGATTTTCGACAACCGACGCCTGAAGTTGCTAACGAAAAACACGCAGTCACCACGCGACCGCATCACTACAACGGAACACAGACACAAAACCCAACCCACACACACCACACAAACACACACCACACATTTTTTTTCTTTATCTCTTATCTTTATCACACACACACGAACACAACACACCACACACAACACACACGACACACACACACACACACACACAGCACACACACACACACACACACATTCACAAACACACACTCACAGCACACGACGACGCACGAAAAATACACGGAGCGCGAGCGATCTCTTGCTCCCGTCAGCTTTCTATAGCGCCACTGGAACAACAATTACGGGAGCGAAAAAGTTTGGAAGCTAACGAGAATAAAATTCGTCTTCTTTTTTCCGGCAGCCGGCAGCGTTTACGACCCGCGACGAATCCGTACGGTATATATATTAGAGTCACGCGTGCTGTGGATAGTGACTGTGGCACAGTGAGCGGCGGCGGTAGTGTGGTGTGCAATTATATAGGCTTTACACGGCATTGACAGGCAAACTGTCGGCAATAATAGTGAAGAAGAGAGTATAGAAACATTAAGATATTTTGTACTACTAGTATTAGATTTCGTATTTATCTAGCATTTATATTTTATTGAAACGTTTCAAGTGCCTGTGACCCTAACCCTATAACTCTAACCATATCAGATAGTTACCAGGGTACGTTTCGGTATACCGAACCGTACCCAGGGTACGTTCCGGCAGTACCCTGAGGGACATAGACTCTAGCCGTAGTACGGGTCTTTGTCGTAGTACTCGTTCTCTCGCTCTCCCGAACAACCGGGCGGCAAGACTAGACTACCAAACTATGCGACAAAGCTTGTGCCTAGCTCCAGTATCACTAAGCAGCTTCCCGATAGGCGTGCGGCGTAAGACGGTGAAACCGTTTGTATTCACATCGACAGCATAGGCGTTGTAGAGTCCTATGAGCACAGCCTTGGAGGCTTCAAGTTTCGAAAAATTATAAGTCTATATTAAAGCGAACGGAAGGTAACATTAACGCAGAGCCACTGGTTTTGAAGCCGTAAATATGCCAGCTTCGTCTTGGCCCCCGTATGTTAAATATACGCACATTTAATACCTTAACCTGTATCAATAACTTCTTTTGTGGCCAATCGTCTTCACTAAACCATAATTTACCGATTGTACCGTTTTGAATTCAGCACAAATCAGAAAAAATATAACAACGTCGAAAAGGCGCCAAAAATCGAAAAGTTCACATAACACATTCTCGGCATGGTCCGCACCGAAATATCAGCGGCGGTGCCCGCTCATTTTGAAATTATCGCGGATCAATTGTGTGTTTTGCAATACTTGACACATGAATTCGACACGATATTAATTTATTAAAGTGGGGGGAATGACAAATGTTTAATCCATATGACAATAATAACTTATTTACATTGACAGTTAACTACTCTATTCAGTCTTCTCTTTTTTCTGTTAAATGTTATGTTTATTTTGAGTCGTTACCGT